CTCAAAGACTAGGACGCAGCTGGAGGCTGGCGGCAGCTGGTACTTCGCAGCCACGTGGACCGGGAGTATGCCGAGCACCGCGGAGTGAGCCGCCAGCAGCACGCCGCCCAGGCCCGCCCCCAGCGTCCAGGCCCCGCTGGCCTGCGGCCTCGCCCACAGCCGGAGGGCCAGGTAGGGCGCCAGCAGAGTGGACAGGAACATGGGGACCCAGGTCATCAGAGCCAAGGGCAGCTGTCCGAAGCTGAAGATCAATAGGTCGAACTCCAGCATCAGCCTTGGAGTGGGGAAGGAGAGACAAAGTAGACAAATGTGTAGCCCATTCTTTCCCCCTCCTCTGCAGCCAGAGCTCTTGGAAGATAAACAGGTATCTCGCTTGTGAGCTCCTGGCCTCTGAAAGTGTTCAGGGTGGCACCTCGGCTGCCTAGGACTTCTCCTGCTCGGTGTTGCCTGAGGAGACTGTCAGGAAATGGTTTCGCTTCCACGTGAATACTGTGGTGTTGCAGAGGGCCTCTGTGCTTTGCAGGCCACAGCTGTTAGGATAGGAGGTACTTCGCATTTAACTTGATTTTCATTCGTTTCGTTCTTTTGGAGTGCCGGCGGCCTGTTGAGTGTTTTGTTTGCTTAGATTAAGAGTATACAGTTTAAAGGGTGACAATGAGAAACGACCTACATGCCCATCAGGAAAGGACTAAGTGAACAAAACCGGGCACCTTCAGACTCTGCAGTCATTAAAAACAATGGATTGACATGGAAAGATTTCTAAACCCGGTTGTCAGGGAGTGAAAACAAAACAATAGTTACAGTAAGTGTCTTATTTATGTAAAGCTCTACCAGATCCATCTCTTTGGTTCTTATATACATATGGATGGAAACTGCTCTGGAGGGAAATTCTCAAAACCGCCGAAAATGTGACTTCTGGGAAGCGGTCTGGGATTGAACAGGAGTGGTCAAGAAGGACTGTAACTTTACATGTATTTGAACTTTTTACTGAGATTTGATCCTTATAATACTCATAATTAGCAACAATTTACGCAAAGGAAGTGCTGCTGTTGCTGAACTTGCAGATCCTTGGTCTTCTTCCTTTTACTGCTTCCTAAGCCTTACTTATCAAAGGTGGGCCTGCAAGTACAGACCCCAGGGAGGTACAGCCTTCTGAAGCTCATCCCCCAAGCAGGGAGAGGGTGCTTTTGGGGGAAACAACCCACCAAGGCACTTGTGTGCATGTCTGTCTTCCCCACAAGATTGGGAGTGCCTCACAGACGGGATGGGGTCTGCCCCTCATTTCTCTGGCCCCCAGGGCTGGTCCTTAGAAGATGCTCAAAGGAGGTTACTTGAATTGAGCATCATTGACTTGGAAAGGTGTGGGGTGGGAAGTGTGTGTATGTGTGCACACACACACATGTATATCTGCCTCAAGACAAGGTTCCTATTGAGAAGTATTTGAGTGGCTGTCCCCAGGGTGGCTAACCCTGGGGGGACAGAGCAAGGGCCATCCAAGGCTGTGGAAAGAAGAAACTAAGAGTGTGTTTTAGGTGGGAATGTTGTTGGAAGCAACACTGATGTGTGTGCAATAATCAAAGGGGAACCTGTGCCCTCTCAGGCCAGTGGTAGATGGAGCCCTGGGGACCCAAAAGGTCTGATCTGATCTGCATGCCTATCCTGGGCAGGAGAGGGGCCTACCTGCCCTCGTCAATGAAGTCGATGGCCAGGGTGCTGATGATGAAGACGCACAGGCCGGCGATGAACATGTGGTAGATGGTCCGAAAGTGCTGCACCTCCATCAGCTCGCTGGAGGGAGAGGGGCCTGCATGTCAGTGTGGAAGGGTCCCCAAGGTCATGTGGACTAGCTCAGGCACCATACACATGTGGGGATGGGGTCTAGTGATTGGAAATTCTAAGGGCTGGGATGTGACTAGGACATGTGTCCAAAGCCCTTTCTAGCCCAGACACATTTAACCTGGTGGCCTTTCTTCCACAGCCACACCCAGGGCAAATAGGGAAACTGAACCTTAAAATTTTTTTTCTAGGTTCTCTCCCAAACCACCTAGAGCCTGGGGGTGAAAACTGAGGTATCTTGGACCCCCAGCCAAAGCCCTTTCTTTTCCCCCCAACCTGTCCTCACCCTTGACTTACTCAAGCAGAGACTTGCGGATGATAAAGACTTTACGTTTCTTCAGAGATGGCTCCTGGGTACTGAATTGAGACAGTTGTTCTGAGTCGGGAACCAAAGGAAGAAGGCAGTGGGCAGAGGGCAGGACCTTGCCAAAGATCAATACTTGGAAGCCCAGGGTAGTAGTAGCAGAAGGTCAAGGCTAGGGCTAGGGGGCAGGACCAGGCAGAAGGTCAGGGCCAGGGCAGAGCAGGGCTGGAGGTGGAGGTCAGTGCCAGGCAGGCAGAGGCAATAAAAGGACAAGAGGGGAAGCTGAAGTGAGGGTCACACCAGTGCTGGCAAAGGGCACATGGGATGATGATTATAGCTTGTAATCTTACAGTGGAGAAGTCTGCTCCAGCCATTCCTCAGCCCCTGGCTCCTCAGACTCTTACTTGTTCAGAGAGCCTGGAGGAATGGTGGGCAGAGGTCTGCCTTGTGATGGGTAGGATTGTACCGCCTCCGACATGGCGCGATCCAGCAGCTCCTGCAGCTGTCTCTGTGCTTGCTCCAGCAGCTGCGCCTTCACAGCCTGCAGGACAAAGCAGGGCCCACTGTCCCTCCAACCAGTTCACCATCCTCTCATTCACTCAACTGAGCTTCTCTCCATACACACAAATGCTAGGGTTAGAAAGCGTGGTTTCTAGCCTGGCTGCGCGTGGCTCAGCGGTTGAGCATCGATCTAGGATCCAGAAAGCGCGGTTCCTGCCCACAAGTTCCCCAATAATTTATCTCCCTCTGCCTTCCCAGGGCAGCAGTGAGGATCAAGGAGAAATAGCAGTAGCAACATTTCCAGTCCCAACCACCTTGTCATCTCCGACTTGACTCTCTTCTCCCTGACCCCAGCCTTCCCTCTCCTGACCTCTAGCCCCACTAACAGAAGACTGTTTGCTGTTGGACTTTTGGCCCCTGCCCTGATGACCTGTGTTTCAAACCTCCTCATCTGAACCCTTAGCTCTCACCTGATCTGAGGGGTTTGAACCCAAAAACCTCCCAAAAACCAATTGTCTTTATCACCAAACTGGTCCTCATCCCTACCTCCCTCCATTCCAGGACCTGTCCATCTTGACCTCTGACCTCTAAGGTCCCTCACCTCCATATGTTGGGTCCATTGCACCAAGTCAGGGCCTTCAAGTGCCTCAGCATTTCCTAAAAGGAGGGGTCAAAGGGCACACACAAAGGGGAGGGGTTAGGGTTCTACTGCCTGGTGTAAGCCCAGAGTTATCCTTTGCCAGGAAATGCTTTCTGTGTGCTCAGCAGCCTCCCAGCACCCCCACCCCCCACCCCATCAGAAGATATCTAGTATCATGGGTGGGGCAGTCAGAAGGGGAAGTTATTTTGTCAGAGAGTGAGCAGGGAGCCTGATGGTGTTACTGGAAACAGGGTACTCAGAGAACAGGAAGCCTCTCTATTCACCCTCTGAGGTTAGAGCGTCAGAAAGACAAGGCAAGGCCACAGCTCTGAATGTCCCTTTTCTTCTCCGCCCCTTCTCTGTCTCCCAGCTGGGTGGTTAGGGGCAGAGTCCAGAGTCTGCCTTCCCAGGACAGCAGGAAGAGTTTCAGGTAGAAAGCAGGAGCCCCTTCTCAACAGGATATCCTCACCTCTAAACCCACCTGAGCATTTTGCACTCCCAGAGGGCGGCTCACCTCCTGCCGGGGGTTGGTTCTCCTGCTCTCTTCTGGACCCTGCTCTCCTCCGAGATCGGGCTGCCTTTGGCTCCATGATGTCAGTCTTGACTGGGCAGCAGGTGGCCTCTACCGTGTTCCTTCGTTTCCTTCACAGTCTGCCAACCCTCTGAGCAACCATCTGTCAGCTCAGCTGACAGCTCCAAAGACTAAAGTCCTTTCAGGAGGAGGAGGCCTCCAGGAGCATGATAGGTTATCTGATCCGGAGGGCAGTGCTTCTCAGCCTCAGGCTCTGTGGACTGTTGCAGGGATGAACTAGATGCAACCCCGCAACAGCCCAACCACCACCCAGATGCCCAGCTCTGAGCAAGTGTGCTCTCCTTCCCACAGGAGTAGTGAGTATGCATGTGGTGGGAAGGGGGACTTTGCCTCTCTGAGGCTTATCACCTAGTATGGCTCACCTTCCAATCTCTTTCCCAGCAGGCTGAAGTCAAGGTGGACTCAGAAACTTCTTCAGATATCAGTACACTCAGCTCCCTTAGACCAAGAGATAAGGTGTGTGAAAGGACCTTGTCAACTTGAAAGCATTGTATGCATGTAATTAATATTCTGATGGGGTTGACACCTGTGACAATTGTGGAGCTGTGGCCCTTCCAGGAAGTGCTAGGTGCCAGTGTCCCTGAATGTCAGCTCTTCCCTACACCTGCTTGGTTAGCATGTAGGCAATATATTTAGCACCTAAGGAATGCCAGGCATTGTCATATAGGGAAGAACTAGATTTAAGTCCTCCCTTTATCATTTCCTGGCTGTGTAATTTTAGGTAAGTGACCCAAATATTTTTAAGCCACAGTTTCCTCCTCTGAAAAACTGGGGCAAAAGTCCCTACCTCACAAGGTTCCTGTAAGCACAAAATGAGGTAGTCCAGGTAAAAGCACGTGGGCCAGGGCCCAGTCCATGAGGGGAGCTCAATAAATAATTAAGTTCCTTCCCTTTTTAGTAGGATATAACAGAAGGTAAGTGCTTTGAGAGTTCCTCTTTGTTAGGGTCCTGCTGGGGATTAACTATTAATTCTTCCTCTCCCCTGTGTCCAAAGATCATGTTAGAAAAAAGATCACAATCTCAGACCAAGGCCGTGGGCTCAGTGTCTCTCCACCTCTATTCCCCTCCCCCCCCACTCCCTGGTGGGTAGCTGGGTGAGGCTTCAGGGCTTGAAGGCTCTGCCAATGCTGCCTCCTTCCAAGTGCAGCGGGAAGGACCGAAGGTAGTCTACAGGAAAGGAGAACTGCTGGGGGGGGGCTTTAAAGGGGGGAGAGAGAAGGGTCAGGGGCTCCAGAAATGTGAGGTGGACACAGAGACATAGACCAGAGACCCCCAAGCTTTATTAACACCCCAAGCCAACAGCAACAATCTTTCCATGTGTGATGCCCAGGGATGAGGGGGACAATAGGGCAGGGCCTGAAGGTGGAATGTGGGACTCAGGGCCCTTGAGTTACTTATTACTCAACAAATGACCCAATATGACAGCCCCATGCTCCTGCCAACAGCCCTGTGGGTCCCCATCCAGCCTTAGCCGCTGCTCCCGGTGGAGCAAGAGGAGCCTCCATTGCTGTCCGAGGATGCTGGCAGGGGCTGGCCCATCCGATCCACACACCAGCAGGGACCTCGGCGCTGCCCCTGTGAGGAGCGGCACTGGGGAGAGAGGCAAACAGATCAGAGGTGAGGCCAAGGCTCCAACAGGAGAGATGGGAGGGGTCCCATGGGTTGGGGAGGGGCTCCGGGCCCCTGAGTCTGAGTATGCAGAAACACCTGAGTTCTCAGGACCTCGAGTCCTGCTGAGTTCCCTTCCCTCGCTTCTCTTCTCCACCCACAAAACTGTGCCCATTCTTCTAGGCAGAACAGTAATTCTCGAAGGGTGGTTCCCAAACCAACAGCATCAGCATCATCAGGAAAGGAGTTAGAAATGCAAATTCTCAGGCTCTGCAGGTGGGGCTCAACCACCTCTAGGTGACTGACACCTCACGTTCGTGTGCCTGTGGGTGAGGTATTCTTTAGGCAGTCTAACTCCTCTACTACAGTGTGTGGTTGGTTATTTGCGTGGGCCCAGAAGTTGGGAGATCCTTAAAGGCAGGGACAGTGTCTTATTTATGCAACTGTGTAAGCCCCCCCCTTCCTGGTAGGGGCCTTGTACTGATGGATGGAGGAGAGCAGAGTGGCCTCACCTGCCGTTTCCGGTAGAAGCCCCTTTGGTCACAATTAGGCACATAGAGGGTGTGAGATCCCCGGAAGACTTCGGTCTGGAGTTGCTGTAGTACTGAGTCCAGATGTCTGCGGCATGGGCCCTGGGGGAAGGGAGAGCAAGCAGCTTAAAACTATTCCAGCTGAGCTCCACTGCACCCACCAGCCAGGCTCCCAGGGCTAACATGGGAGACCTTTCTGAGCCCAAGGAAGCAGTCTCGGATGGACATCTCCAGGGCTCCCCACCCGTCCTGCTCCCTGCCAGCCCCAAACGCACCATCTCGGTGTCTTGGACACCCCCAGGATTGGGCCTGGCAGGAGTGGTAGAGCTCCCCAGGTTCCTTTGTTGGTCTCTGCGGTTCATGTCCTGTTGGCGAGTGGTCCCCACTTGGGGTTTACTCTCCTTAGGATTCTCCCCTAGAGTCACAAGAAGATGGGGAAAGAAGAGGCCGGAAATCAGCCAGATGTCAAAGACCAGAACCAAGTGGAAAGAGCCTTGCTCACTCCTACCCACTGAAGTGGGAGGAAGAGAGGGGCTTTTGGAGCAGTAGAAGTGAGGGGGGGGGGCGTTAGAATCTG